GGGCAGCCGAACCCTAAGGGAATAAATCTCATTTTATCCTGGCTGTGGTCAGTGAGCTGATGAAATTAGAAGAGAGGGCTAATCTAAAGAGCCGTGACTTCCAGGCCCCGAAGGCCCGGCCACCACTTCCCCGAGCATACCGGAACCATCCGGAAGCCCCAACCAGGAGCAAAACGGAGGCTACCAGGAGGAGCTCTCCTCTAAAGCTCAACACCCAAAGCCATGGAAATCATTTCAGCTCTCCACAGAGAAGAAAAAAAAACTCTCTTTCACCGAATGATATGATCACAATAACCATAATAATCAGCACACTGGTGACAAAGACCTCAGAAACTGTTCTGAATGGGTAAAAAAACGACATCATATCTGATGAAATAACGCTGCTCTCTCAAAGCCGTTTGCTCGATAAAGATATGCCCATTTTGGCCTTTGGCACCGGTTGTTTTCACGCCAGCAATTCGACACCATCGAGCCTGGATAGGAGCAGATAAAAGCAACATGCTGGAGACACACAACGAAATAACGCAAAATATTGAGGGGAGAAGCAGAAGGAGACAGCCATTTCTTATCTAAATTTTTTTTTTGTTTTGGTTGAAACTCTCTTTTATTGTCTATTTTATTCTGGGGGTGTGTTTGTGCATAAGAAAGCAAAACGGAGGGTTTTCCTGCCTCTTTGTGCCTCTTTTGTGCAGCCTCCTGAGCCATCTGGTTTCCATCTCCGATAGATGGCAACAAACAGCCACAACGTGCCAAAAAAAGATGAACGGCGGCTCCTCTTTCTGCCCCCGTCATGCCTCCATTTTCGGAGAATAGGCCCACTTGTGTTCGAGCGTTCAAAGGGAAAGGGGGAGCACTCACCACCTAAAGCTTGCTTCATTACAAAATCCATAGCTCCTGCTGTTTAGTACAGATGTGCAGTTCGAGTCAGAGATCGCTGAGCATGTAGCCACCGAGCCCGAAGACGCCTGGGGGGTGCGTTTGTCTCAGGTCCTTTTCTCTCTGCAAGACAAAAACAACAAATAAGTCAAATAAGTGTGTTTTATAGAAAAGATAGAACATAGTTGCTAATTTTGCCTTGATTAGAGACAAGTGTAAAGCAGTAGTGAGGTAAAGAGAGAGGCCCACAGCCTCTCTTTGACTCCAAACTTAGCTCCAGCCCTCGTTTCAGATGCTTTTTGAACAGTTTAGGGGGCGGTTTTACTCTCAGAATGGAAACTTTTTAAGCTTAATCGATGCAGATCACATCAGACTTCCTGGTAAATTCAGTGTGAAATGTCAGATTTGTGGAGTCCTTTCTGTTAGAGCCTCTTTTCCTTTAGGATTCTCTGAGACAGCATGTTTAAACGCTCGCTAACGCCTTTTTTTTTTTAGGGAATTTGGCTGCTGCAATCTGTACATTTCCTTAAATATTTGAAGGACTTGGGGCTGAGATCTGCCCAGTTTTCAGTTTTCAGCCCGCAGCTCTTTGGGAAATCCTCAGAAATCCTGTTTCCTGTCTGTCAAACTGGGTTTTCTTTGGCCCTTTTCACCCATCAGCTAAAGATATGAGAACAAATGTGTATTTGTGACTGCTGTGTGCTGCTAACAAAGAGCCTAAAGTTCCACTTTAAACTGCAGCTTTGACACAACGCTGGCTCAGCCCTTGAGTTAGGGGCCCTTCTTTCTGCCTGAATGATCCACAGCTCAGTTAAGTGGCTGAACAGATTAAAAAAAAAACATTCCTCTGAAAACATCTCAGAAATCTGATTTGAAATATCTAAACATTTTCTTTGTTTTCACCAAATGTCGCAAATCATTTTTTGAGAAAAAGTTACACTAAAATCTTTTTTGAAGCAGTTAAATGAAAAGGACTGGAGAAGAAAAACACTCTAAAAGAGCTTCAGGATGGCTGATAAGCATTTGCTTTTTTCTTCCTGAACCATTCAGAGCTGAGAGCGAAGAGGTAAAACAAAAACACAGTCCAAAAGAAAATGGCTCGAACTGAAAATGAGGGGAACGTGTCTAAACCCGAATCCATCTTTCCCGCCGGGTCCTTGAATGCATCTCCGCCCAATCTATAAGGAGACAGATCTCAAATACACACTCGATACTGGAGAACTAAATCAGCGGCTGTCTGAATGACAGATACTCTCAATCCACCGGATCCCCTCTCAGAGAAGAGCGTGCATCAATACTGAGGTCACATGACTCAATACGAGGAGAGCAGCTCACCGCTAACCGTTCAGATATCGATCAGGAAGTCTTTCATTGGTGTTCGGCTCAAAATCGGGAGAAAGTCGGCTTAAATGTGTTTGAAGTGCTGCTAATCCTTTCAAAAATCCACATTTCTCTGCTGTTAGAAAACAAACTGTCAGAGAATCCTTCCTGTGAATCGCTTCCAGCATTTCTTCCGGCAGAGCAGTTGTTCTCTATTCTTATTTGTGATCCGCTTTTCGCGCGGGGGGGTGCGATCCTCGGGCTATTTTTCTGATTTCATATTCAAACATCCACCGGTTTGCAAAGAGAGAGAAGAACAGCGCAGCCGGCGGCGGCTTCTGCTTTAAGACGAGCTCCTTATCCCATTTAGAGAGCCACAGATTTCATTTCAATTGAGCTTTCTGATCTGTTAGTCAAAAGAGGGTTTATTTAAAGAGACATTGTGTGGGATTTAAAGTATTTTTTAGCTAATATAATTTCTAAATGTGTCCTCATTTGGTGTAAAATGACCTCTTGCAATGATCTGACTTCTCATAAGGAAGAATTTCCTATCTGTACATACACAGGACTGGTAAGTCCATGGGGGTTTCCATGGCGATCCGCCATTTTGAAAAACTAGAATGGCAGAGAGGGACATAAAGCACTAGTCCACCTGTCTAGCTAATCTACAACGCGTTTTCCTTCAGAGCCAGAGTCACCTGACTGAAATTTCTTTTAAATGAACTCTTTTTTTTTTTTAATAATAATATTAATTACAAACCTCATCACCCAAAGAAAGCTGGATGATGTGGAAGTCATGTTGTCGTTACTTCTTGATGCATGGCGGCTACCGTAGCTGTAATACCCATTTGAAAAAATGAGGAAGTAGAGAGCACCATTTGTTAGAACGCAACACACAATTTCACCTTTAGATGGAACCCCCAAAGGAATCTGTCTGGTTTCAGGAAGCAGCCATCTACATATTAACATTGTGAAAAGAACACTTAAATTATTTATACTTGCAGTTTTTTTGTTTATTTATTTTCATCCATCCATCTCTTACTTTCTCATATTTTGTTACACAACTTATAGGTCAAAGACATACTTTTATTTGTTTGTTTGTTTGTTTTTTTGCACAGCTGCTGTAACGTGTGAGCCCCCCTCTGTGGGATCAATACAGTAATCTAATTTAATGTAATCTAATCTAATCTAATCCAATCTAATCAAAACGTCTCTGCGACCCGCGTCCCTGTGATCCGTTTTGGATAGAAGCATCTGGTAAATGTAACGGGAGGACCTCCCATGATGCACCTGTCCCCATCCGGCTGCTGTCACCCTTCTCTCTCCCAGAGCAGTGGGATGTTTGTGGCCGTTTTTATCCTGTTTTTCCATCCCTGCTATGGGGTCAGTCTGCATTTTCCTCTCCTCTTACACCCCCCTGCTCCACACAGATGGGAAGTCGGGCTCCAAATCTTTATTCTAACCCTGAATCTGAGGGACAGCACTGAAACTTTAATGATTAAGATTCCTCTGTATGCTCATTTCTATTAATAGAATATAGAAAAGCAGCTATTTATAATACATTAATTCGCTTTAATATATTATTAACACTTTTTTTATATATATATATATATATTTGATATATTTATATATATATATTTATATATCCATCCATCCATCCATCCATCCCTTTAGTATTTCCTGGCAGGCAATGGAAATTTAATTAGTTTTTTTTACCCATCGGCTAAAATTAGATTTACTTATTTTAATCTTAATTAATCTTAAAGCGGTTCTTAACATTTTTCCTTCATGCAGGGTGACAGCAGCCATCAGAGGTCCACCATTTTGAATATTCTGTGCCTGCGTGCTAACTGTTGCCTCTTTATCTACAGTATTTGATTAACCAGATTAACTCCGCGCTGGTGTCGGCTCAGATGAAATCCTCCCATCAGATCATCTCCAAACTGAAACAGATCCGGCCTGGAGTTGGCCGGAGCTGAACAGGGCTGGGACGGCAGATTGAGGCTTATTCTGGGAGGAAACGGGGGTGGGGGGTGAGGCCGAGCGGGACCTGGAGCCAATTTTTTAACCGCGACTTCAGGCAGGGAGGACCTCGTTTCGCAGCCAAATAAATGCCGGATCTGCTATCCGTTCCGCTTGATTTCCCCGTTTGAATCCCTTACAAAAACACTGGGCTGAATTTTCCTGTCATTTCCCAGTTCGTGACTTCCCATCCTGCTCCGGCACACCCAATAAAATCAAAGGGACGGCTCTTTAAGCCCCGCAGAAGGCTGATGAAGACCATTTATCAGGGTTGGGAACACGGTTTTCACCCAGAGCTACACAGGAGTTACTAGTCAAATTATGATACTAAAAAAGGCCGGAGGAACCCGTGGAAATGACAAGTCTTTGACATGTAGTGGTGGTAGCTAAATTTTCTGCATTTAAATGTGATCTTCTGGGTTAATCTCACTAAGTCTGAGGTCACGGGACACCCAGCTAGTGGGCCACAGAGGTACCACCCTTCAGGTGGACCAGATCTTTACCCTCTAAGAGATACTGAGGGGGGTCCTTGGACCTGGACCCTCCAGACTAGATCTGTTTACCAGGCCTGGAGGGTTAAGTAAGAGCTGTGTTCTCATATTTGAAACCTATTTCTTCTTTACTTCACTCAGATTGACTCAGTTTAGGTTATTTTCCAACACAATTTGGTGCCACCTTAAAGTGTGTGTGGGGGGGGTCGTTTCTAATTAAATCAATGATTCAGCTGGTAAAACTGCATCTGGTACTAGATGATGTTACTTTGTGGGAAACCAGAAAAAGAACCCAGATCTGGATCTGGATCTTCCCGATGTCGACGATCCCGCTTGCTCATTTTTTTGAGGGACGCATCTGGTGGTGTTGCCATGGAGACGAATCCCATTTGCGGAGGGTTAGCGGCCCGGATGGGAATCCGCTCATCAGCCTAAGAAAGGGGGAGGAGCTCCACCATCCTAGAGAATGGAATAGAGAATGGAATCCCAGAGTGGGGTGGGGGGGTTCTGGTTAGCACGTGCCCTATTCAGGCAGGAAAGCTGTTAAAACCTATCCTCCTCCGTTATGGCACCCCTATCCTCACTGTTCAGGGGTTTGGTTTTAAACATGTCGGGTCCTGGACCAGCAGGAAGCAGCTTCCTGCGTCTGCCGCACGACGCCGGCAGCTTTTCTCTTATCGTTCCACAAACAGGCTCAAGGAGCCGCTAATGGAATAAAGGGAAGATGCTGCCGTCAGACAAGAGCATCTGCAGAGGAGAGGACGCTGGGATCCCAGCCTCCGTGCACTTCGTTGACGTCTGATATCATCTGCGATCTCGTATCGGAGCGTTCATGAACCAGCTGGAGGGATCCGGTTTGTGCTCGAGCTGCAGCTCCAAAAACCCACAAACAGAACAGAGTTCGCCAGCAAGGCTTTTTACCGCCTTTCTTTTGCTCCAAAGACCCTTGAAGCTGAAATCTGATCACTTTGATTACAGGTCCGGTGGGTGTCGTCACGGTGGTGTCGTGGTCAGCACCATGGCCTCACAGTGGGAATGTTCTGGGTTCTAGTCCCATCCCTTTCTTTCTTTATAGACTGTCAAGTCACAATAAGGATAGTCTGTAAGCACTTCAAAGATAGACTTCAGGCCTTTGTAATGGAGTTATTCCCATTACAAGAAAAGCTTTAGGGGACGGCACGGTGGTCTGGTCAGCACAATCGCCTCACAGCAAGAAGGTTCTGGGTTCTAGTCCCCGGGGGAACCAGGACCTTTCTGGGTGGAGTCTGCATGTTCTCCGGTGTCTGTGGGTTCT